GATCCAGAGGCATATAAATTTGCAGTTTTAGCACTTGATTTTCATTAGATGTTTGCATGCTGTTTTAGTGCCAAACAGAGTTTTGCTCTAGCTACTGTCATTGAATAAAAATATGGCCAAGCCCCCTCACTCAGCAAGGAACTTCCTTTACTCATTCCAAGTTGACCCTGAATACAATAGGGCAACTGCTACAACCTATCCTTTGTTCTTGTGCCAAGACGGCCCATGTATTACAAAGGGAAGTATCAAAGTGTAAAGTGGATGGGGTTTGTTATGGTCACACCCACTTCCCTTATTGTGCCCCCCCCTCACACCTTGCAATGAAGTCATCACAACTGAGCTTAAACACAGCTTAAACAACAATAGACATTCAAGCTACTCCCTGTTTCCTCTCCAAACCTTATAGGCTAATAAAGTTACAATTGCATGGACATGTTGAAATTTAGAACAATGAATGGTTTCTTGAAAATCTCTCCATTCTACTTATTTGCAGATATGTATCTCAAACCTCATTTCTAAAATTTGTGCATTTAGTTCTAGAGCAGGCATTCACCTTCTACCCAACCTTACAGTCAAATCAGTTACATTATTTCTGTACTTTGTCAATATCTATGTTGATAAACATGAAATGAATAGTATGTGCAGGATTTCACCTTCATAAGCCTGCACCACTAGCTATTATAAATTCTGTTGTACAAATATTGGGAATTTCATAAAATGAATAAAATCTAAAGCTCAAATATAAGAGATAAACCCATTTTTAAAGACAAAGGCCATTATTAAATATGATATCCTGTGAGGGTCACTTGGTATAGTGGAGTTAAGACATCAGGCTAGAAAATGGGAGGCTGTGAGTTTTAATCCTGCTTTAGGCCAGGCCTTTTCTCTTAGTCTTAGGAAGGAAGCAATGGCAAACCACTTATGAAAAACCTTGCCAAGGAAACTGCAGGAAATGTTGCAGGCAATCTCCAAAAACTGGACACAACTGAATGGAAAGCAAAGCAATCAATCAATAAAACTGATACTAGAGAAGCACGGAAAATCCAAAACAGCTGTTTTCTGATCTTGAAGATCCAGATAGGATAATTATGTTTACAAATTAGCTAATCTATGATTACATGATATATAATTTTAAAAAGTGATAGTGCCATTTCTATATCAACAAATCTATCTAATAAGTAAATGGCTAGTTTATACTATTTAGGTAAAAGTAAAAAGTTGAGGTTTGATGTTAGTATCTTATTCTACTGCACCAAAGGGAATAGAAGTCAACGCCTTTTCTTTCTTTTTCCCTTCTTTTCTGCACTCTTCCCTTCTCTTTTCCCTCCCCTATTTTTCCTATTGTTTTTGTATTTTTGTATTTTATATTATAAACTAATAAAAAGGACAATTAAAAAAAACCAAAAACTTAAGTGAACGAAATTTAAAAAAACAACAGAAAAAGTGATGGTGCTTATACACAATGAATAATAAGTTATAAGTAAACAATCCGGATTTATATGAACATTTAAGGTTATAGGAAACATGCAACACATTTTTTAGTTGTGGAAACCTACAAATGCAACCAACGCTTTAAAAAGCCTTAAAACAGACAAGTCAGAAACGCTGTTTGTGGCCAGACTCTTTTCTTGGGAGCTAAGCATTGCATCTCCTCTCAGAAAAAAAACCTGATGCATTGGCCCAAAAGATCAACTCTGCAAGTTAATGGTTCTCCTAGCAATGCTTTTTTTGTTTTGTTTTTGGGGCGGGGGGACGACGACAAGCCAACACATTGGAGGAGACTCAAGATTCTTCTGAATCTTGACACATTCGAGCATTGGGCCCTATCCAAACAGATGCAATTCAGTGGTGAGAAATGTAAGGTCCTGCACTTAGGCAGGAAAAACCAAATGCATAGTTATAGAATAGGAGGTAAATATGACTCAGCAGCGTACGGCAGCTGTCAAAAGAGCTAATGCAATTCTAAGCTGCCTCAACAAAGGGATAGCATCAAGATTACGGGACCTGATAATACTGCTTTATACTGCACTGGTGAGACTACCCTTGGAATAGTGCATCCAGTTCTGGTCACCATGATTCAGAAAAGATGCTGAGGCCCTAGAAAGAATGCAGAGAAGAGCAACAAAGATAAGGGATTTGGAAGCTAAATCATACAATGAACGGCTAAGGGCACTAGGTATGTTTAACCTAATGAAGAGAAGGCTCAGAGAAGACATGACAGCAGTCTTCCAATACTTGACAGGCTGTCACAGGACACTGATTTATTCTCCATAGAATCTGAGGAGAAGACAAGAAGCAGTGGGTGGAAGCTTGTCAGAGGGAGATTCAACCTGGAAATAAGGAGGACTTTCCTGACAGTCAAAGAATTTGCCAATAGTACAGTACAGCTTGCCTCCCAGAGTTGTGGGTGCTCCATCTCAAGATTGGACAACCATTTGTCTGGAATGGTATAAGGACTCCAGCTTGGCAGGAGGGCTGGACTAAAAGGGACCTCCAAGATCCCTTTCAGCCCTATGATTCTATGAGCTGATTCTATGAGTCATCAGCAAATAGAAATAGCATCTGCATCCCACCACCTTCCTTAAAAAGTCTTGATGTGGCTTAGGCTAATTATGTGATTATCTAAAGAACTGAATGCAATAACACAATCCATGACAAGGCCCTCTTTAAAACAATTTGTAAACTTCAACTGGTATATGCTACCAAATTTTTTTGGGGGGGGGGAGTGACTTATAGCAATCTTCTCTAACTAGGGCAGACATGGCAACATATCGGGACGGTTTTGCCATTGCCGGCAATGGGGTGGGCACGGCTTCCGGATGACACATCTGGCCTGCGGGCCGGTAGTTTGACACCCCTTAACTAGGGGATCTCCAAATATATAGCACAAAAATTCTTATTAACCTCAGCATCACAACCACTTTGACTAAAATGATAGAAATGATCTCTTGGCAATAAATTTCATAGCTTGTGGAAACCCGAATTAGAAATTCTGAATGTATCATACCTGTTAATTTTGACTTTATTCATCCCCAGATTCAATTTCAGCATGCTATTTTTGATTTACAACTCAAACATAACTTCAACTTCCTTCAGGTACCTCTGCCATTTTAAACTTTCCAAAATTCGCTCTTAAGTGAATTTACAACCTTTCTCGTTACAATTGTTAAGTAAATAATTCCAACTGGTAAGTTAGGAACAGGATGCTAAGTGAATCTGGCTTCCCCATTGACTTAGGTTGTCAGGTGGTCACAAAATGTCATCACATGACCCCAGGGGACATTACAACCATCATAAATATGAGTCAGTTGTCAAACCTTTGAATTTTGATCAGGTGACCAGAGGGGTGCTGCAACAATTGTTAAGGGTGAAAAAAGGTCGTAAGTCTCTTTTTTCATTGCGGTTGTAACTTCGAACAGTCATTAAATGAACCCTTGTAAATCAGGGACTACCTGGAGGTGCAAAAGTACCGTCACAAATTACCTTCAAGTTATTCCACTATAACTGAAAATGAAAACGTATAAACATCTCCCACCAATCCAAGCAGCAGACAGAATAATGGAAATGGAAATAATGGATTTTGGAGGGGGGGGGGAATAGGAGGAGTGTGGAGATCGAGGCAATAGGCCTCCCTTTTCGTATCACAGCATCGTTGGCAAAGAGCAAACGGCAGACAAAATACTCGCAAAAGCTCCCGAGGTATGCGAGCGATTTAAAGCGCCCAGGCAGCCTCGCCCAGCTGCTGAATAACCCAGCTGCAAGATCTTTGATGATCACAAGCATTTCCGGCTTTATATGCAAATGAGAAAGACGCCAATAGTCACCGAGGAAGGGAGCTGAGCTTTAAACTTTGAAAATGCAGACCTCGAAGCTGCCGATTAAGCTGCGCGTTGGGGGCCTCGGCGCAGTTTTAATGAGCGAGGCGGGCGTTTTTTGTCTTCTATTTTTAGGACAACTATTTTTCTCTCACTCTCTGCTAAACCAAGGTATTCTAACAGAGGCGGTGCAAAACGCGTGGTTTCCAACTTTTAAATCCACCGACCTTCGAGTAAGCCCCATTTAGAAACCAACGGGAGTTATACTGTTTGAGCAACCCCGTTAGGAAGCGGCAGGAGTAAACGGCAATCAAAATCCACTGAACTCAGCGCCAGCCACTTCCGAATACATTATAGGCATTGGATCTGGTTGCACGTGTAGATGGCATTCACGCAGAGAGGCGGACACGCGTCCGATTTCCGCAAACACCCCAGCTTTCCAAACGAAACGCTACTGTAATTTGTTTAGCCCTTGCAGCATCTAGAATGTTCTTCAAAGGGTTACTCAACATAGCCTTTTGTACTGATCAAAGCAAGGACCCGAAAGGGGGGGGGGCACTCGGAAGGCTTCTGTCCTGGAGGGGGGGGGTCCCCTAAACCCTCGCACGCGAGCACAACCCCGAAAATAAAAAACAAAGATAAGCAGAGTTTACCTTATTCATCCCATTCCCCATGGCTCTAAACGATCTGAAACTTTAGCACCAGAGACTGGAAGCAATCTATTGAATAGGAAGCTGCAAATAAAAATACTGGGGCGGGGAAACAACGGTATTTACTCTGTATGCGTGAGCAATCAAATATAAAAACGATTATATTGTTAACTATTTTTCAGGAGCTCTAAAAAAAAATCTCCCATCCATCAGAATTAGCCGGGACTTTCCTCTTCAGGTGTTTTTTATAAACGGAATCCGCCCCTGGATTTCTCTGGATGAAAGCCCAGATAAACTAGTTACAAGTTTACACTGCCAGGAATTACGTCTCGGTCAATCCGATCTTTCTGATCTTACCACTCCCACGTGTGATTAAACTCCAGGCGCCGTGAAAATTGCCCCAAATAACAGCGCTAAAATTTCTGGGATTCGTAGTTTTATGCCCATTCGGTCGCTGGCTGAAAGCGGGATAGAAAAACTACAACGCCCGGCATGCACAGCGACAAGTTTAGGTTCCACCTTCCTGATCACGTACACAAAGTGTGAGAGCTCCGCCTACTTTCATTCCTGGAAAGGATGAGTAAGCGCCGGCGGCTTCTTTGATACACGGCTGTGGAGGCGGCGGGAGATGTTTGATTTCTGGGCAAAAGCAGCCTCCCAGTTAACGCCGTACATTTTTCTATAGATAGTTTATTTATCGCTGCTTATGCAAATATGTATTTTGTGAGAAGACGGCCCCCAATTAAATGAGCCTTTTCCAGTAAATTGCTATCTGCAGAGCTGTTTTCTAGAAGTCTATTTCTAGAAGCGTATTTCGATTTTGATGTTCCAGTTATAACAGCTATATCTTCCAACAGAATTGCAAAAAAATGATTTTGCTGTTTTCTTTTTGGTGTAGTTGAAATATTTTTGGCTTGTCTGGATAGAGGTTAATTAGAAAGGCATTGCTTGTTTCACTATTTTTCCCTAGTGTATATATTGCACTTATATATATATTAATGGTTTGGGATCAGGATAAATCTCAAATGAGTCTTCGCTGTTATGTTCCTCTTTGATCACCAAGATAATATGCAGAACTGCTAAATGCAGACTGATGGTGGAAGTGCTCTGAGGTGATAACTACACTCTAGACTTCTCCCTCTGCAGTTCTGGTAGTCCTCATTTAGTGATTACAATTGGGACTGGTAACTTGGACTTGGAGCAAAGTGGTCACAAAGTGAAACCACTGCTGTGTTTATAGATCTTACTTCAGCTTTCCTTTGCTTTATGAGCTTGTGACAGTTGTAAACGTAAGTTACTTCTTCATTACCATTGTAACTCTGAAAAGTCACTAAGACAGATAATAAACGAAGGCTTCCTGTTCTATACAGTCATCTAGATGCCTCTTGCAAATGCTACTATTTCATATTCCATATCCTTTTATGTATTATGTGTTATACTGCTTTTACTGTAATTTCTTAGAGATTCTTTGATGTTGGAAGCAGTGTATAAATATAATATAAATTTTGTTTGTACCACAGATGGGTTTTTTTAAAAAACAACCATGCTCTTTTGACTATATATAACACTTTTTTTCCTGAAGCTGTTTCTATTATAAAAAGCTGACTTTCTAATATTCTTTTGGGTGCTGATGGCAAAATTAAATAGTGCTGCAAGTGATTGAGGCCCAAAAGAATATCAATCCTAATAAACCAAAAGCAGGTTGCAGATACAAATAGGGCATCCAAAGTCAAATTGGCTTTCGAAAACTACCATTTTCCTGAAAGGCCATGAGGACTGGATCTTGCCATGCCCTGAATCCAGACTCTCCTCAGTGTAGCTTCCAAATCCTTTCCCATTTATATTTTCACTTGGCTTGCTATCTGCAATGCTATGAAAGTCCCTTCTCCTTCTTTCCTGTGATAGGCAATATCAACGCTGTCTGAAAAAATAAATCTCTGGGATGCCTGGCTAATTGATGGTACCATTTACAAGATATCGTGGCATAAGAGGTGACATGATAGCAGTGTTCCAGTGAGGGCTGCCGCAGAGAAAAGGGGGTCAATTTATTTTCCATAGCACCAGAAGACAAGAAACAATGGGTGGAAACTAATCAAGGAGAAAAACAATCTAGAATTAAGGCGAAACTTCCTAACAGTGAGAAACAATGAACAAGTGGAAAAACTTGCTTTCAGTGGTTGTGGGTGCTTTATCACTGGACAATTTTTAAAGAAGAGACTGGACAGCCATTTGTCTGAAATGGTATAAGGTTTCCAGCTTGAGCAGGGGGCTGGACTAGAAGACCTCCAAGGTCCCTTCCAACTCTATTATATAATTAAAGTTTGCAGCTTGAGCAAGGGGTTGGACTAGAAGATCTCCAAGGTCCCTTCCAATTCTATTATGTAACTAACTAAAGACACCTTTAGGGAAAGGCAGGGCACTCAAAACTTTTCTTGAGCAACAAGGGAATACAGAGGGTAGTCCTTAACTTATGACTACAATGGAGTCCAAAATTTCTGTTGCTAAGCAAGACAGTTGTTAAGTGAGTTTTGTCCCATTTTACAACCTCTCTTGCCACAGTTGTTAAGTGAATCACTGTAGTTGTTACATCCATGGTTGTTAAGTGAATCTGGTTTCCCCATTGATTTTGCATGTCAGGTTGCAAAAAGCGATCACATGACCCCGGGACACTGCAGCTGTCATAAATACATGCCAGTTGCACAGTGCCATTGTAACACAACTGAAACTGTTCTAATTTATTTTGTGATGCGAAGAATGAAGAGTCTGAGCCAACTTAAAAACACAACTTTTCCCATTGTTTTAGCTTCTGTCTCAATCATTATCAGACATTTGGTTGTTGCAGGAAATGGTGGGCCAAAAGCACCACTGTGTTTTTGTGTGTGTGTGAGAGAGAGAGACAGCAGACTAAGAATGCAGGAGAGCAAAACTACAGTTCCACAAACATTCAAAGGGGGAAAAAAGCGTAGCCTTCTACCAAACTAATCACTTCACCAATATTTCTGCAAATAAAGTAAGCAGACACTTCAGGAAATTTCACAATATCTTTTTGTCTTATTATTATTTTTTTTGTTGCTATTTCACCTGCGGTGATAGTTCTTTTATTTGTCACTGTCGCGCAGAAAATGAAACTCATCTTAATCTCATTGACTATCTGAACAGAACTGAAATGTAGAAAGACAATTTCATATTCTGGAACTTTTCCACTGCTGAGTAATTTTATTGTTTAATATAAGCTGATAGTATCCGAGCAAATATTCAGGGGTAACGCACTATAGAAATGAAGGAAGGTTTCCTGTGTACCGTAAAGCTTTATGCCAGAATTGAAATCTGTTGTAGTTTCAGATGAAATCGTGTTGTGAACCATTTTCAGGGTTTCACTGGTTTTTCAGCATTATGAAACAGGTGCGCTCTGCCTGCTCTATCAGCTGTTTCAGTACCATTTTCCCAAAGCAGTCAATAGAGTCAAGTTTAATGTTTTAATACTGTCCTGAAGTATATATGGTAACAAGTACTAAGCAGCTCAGACTGTTTGTGTAGTAACTTATATAACACATCAGTGTTATATATGAGTGAGTGCTAACCATCCAATCTGATTGGCTGCTAATAAATACCAGTGACGCGCATGCATTTACACATCTTTATTTATTAAAGTTGTTAAACCCCCGAAGTCTCTAATCCAGTGATGGTGAATCTTTTTGGAATAAAAAATTCAGACAGCGCCTAACTTGATTCTGCTGGTATATCACACACACCCTCCACAAACAAAACAAACAATTCTCCCCCCCCCCCCAATGCCTTCATCTAGGGCAGTGTTTCCCAAACTTGACAATTTTAAGGCATGAGGACTTCAATTCCCAGAATTCCACAGCCAGATAGCCCATTTTGCCTAACAATAGAACACACCCCCCTCATTGACAAGCACTTGCCCAGCTTCTCCAAACTGGCCAGCTAATCAGATTCTTAGGATTTTCTGTGTGGTAGCCCTCAACTTCTATAGAAATCTTTGCTTTTCCATTGTTCCAGTTCCTCATTTTTGCAAAGCAGACATCCAACAATTGTTGCAGTAAACATGGTTATTCTTGTATTGTGCTCCTTACTTGGGCAAAATTCCACAAGAAGTGCCAGAGAGCATATAGGTAACTGTGCCAATCACTTTGTCACAGCTTGCAAGTAAATACAGTGGCATCAAATAAGAAGGCACATCTCTTCATATAGTCTTTCACCCCAAAAGTTATATACAGGCTGGTTCAACAGTTCCAGAGCTGCATAAGAAAATAGTTTGTCACAGGCCATTTGAGTTTCACAAATTTCAAGCCCACATTTCTAAGAACTGTAGCTATTTTTTTTTCCCCAATGATGTACATTATGTTCATTTTCTGCGTTTGAACTTGCCCCCCAAAAACATTTGTAGATCAAGGCATCATAAACAAAATGCTTTTCGCTTTTGCTAATTTGATAATTCTTTAAAAGTGGTAATACCCACTGTGATATTGCTTTCATTTCCTGATCTCATCAAAAATAAAACTTTTATTTAGATCTTTGAGGAACTACAGCCTATACTCTATTTCAGACATCTGACAAAATTTGATACAACGACTTATTCAAGAAACGGTACAATTTTTTGGCTTTACATTTCAATGCTGGTGTCTCTCTGTTAAAGACTGTGTTGAAAAA